GGGGGGGGGGGGGGGGGGGGGGGGGGGGGGGGGGGGGGGGGGGGGGGGGGGGGGGGGGGGGGGGGGGGGGGGGGGGGGGGGGGGGGGGGGGGGGGGGAGAGAGAGAGAGAGAGAGAGAGAGAGAGAGGACTTTGCTTTTCTCAGGCACCATCGTGGATTGAGTTAGGAAAATTTGGTTGAACGTTTTGATTGTTAATATCACTAGGAATGGGAATAGGATACTGGAGAAGTCGCCGAGCCTCCTCCTCGAAGGAGATAAACCGCTATTATTTTTTTCTGGACTTTCCTTAGTGCAGATGAGTGGACAAGAGACCACCTTTAAAAGGTCTTTTCATATATTTCTCACTTAGCTCACCCGTAAATCTACATAAACTTCCTTTTGACTCTTCTCAATCTTCTCAAAATTCACTAAGTAAGCTTGTATTCAGACAACCCAAAATACTCTGCAAAGTTTGATCACAGGAGTCTGGTGTCCATAGCACCGAGCCAATGTCCGGCAGGCAGCTCAATTAATGTTGGGTGAATTGAATGGGACTTCTCTGCTGGCTAACAGTTCTCTCTTATTTACTGGAGAGAATATTTTGGAACCCTCAGGCCCCTTATTAGCAGGTATGTGGAGGTTAGTAATGCCTTTAAAGGACAGTGTTATTAGTCAATTTTTGTTCCTTTTACAAATAAATGGGAGTTCAAGAGTGGCATTTCCATGAGAGTTCAGAGAAAGCTGTTTCCTCCTCTGCTACTAACTTGAACTTGGATCTGTTCCTTTTCCACCAAGTTCGGCCATCCCAATGATATTCCACCCAAATTTCACTGTAAGGGGCTTGAAGTCTATTTATTGTCATAAATGATAGAAGGTCTTTTAAAAAATGTAGCTAGGGAGGTTAGGGGGCAACTTTTACCCCAGTGAAGACACTGAAGAAGGTTTAATTATGAACACCCCACTTTGTACCCTCTTCATCTGTAATGTGATAAGCAGAGTATGGATCTCTAGTTTTAGAGAGCTGGGCAAGAAAAAGGGAAAGGTCATTTTGATCCCTCCTAAAATATAGCTGTGGCTTGTCACTTTGAAGAACCATCAAAACTGCAGGTCAGGAACTCCTGCCCAGGTTCTTAGTCACTTCTCTCAACTCCAGCCCAGAGCAAGCAAATCCATCTGGGAATTTTAAGGCTTAAGTATCAGAATCTGAAAGTTTGATGCAAGCAGTGAAGGATGGGTGGGAGACATAATACGTGTTTGGCACCTAGTGTGTGCCTCCTGTGGGCACACGTCAAGGTCCCCAGGGATGGTGCCAACTTCAGGGGGAGACAGAGGACTGCTGATCCTGCTATGGAGAAGAGGGTAATGTGTCTCTTGTTACATTCTCTTAAATCAACCTGACATTGAGTAAAAACAAAAACAGAAACAAAAACAAAACGCCATGAAGAAAGAAAAGAAAAAAAAAAAAATCAGGCCCGTTTGGACAAAGCAGAAAATTGACTAGTGTTTAGCCCAGGAAAAATGTCAGCAGCAATCACTGTCTGCTAATCCCAGCCCAGTTTTAATCAGCGTCTCCCTGGCACTCTGGAGTATTTATTCTACTAAAGATTTAAGCCAGTTTGTTTTTAAGAAATATTCTAATCCCCTCTGTTTAACTTTTTAACTTAATCTTGGTTACCAAGTTACTCAGGGAGCTAAGGGGAAGACGCTTTCCCCTCTCACAAACATGATTAACCTGTCTTAGCTTATTTTTCCTAAAATCTCAAGGGCAGTGCCAGCTGGGGGAAGGGGTGAAGCCACAGACAGGGGGAGGGGAAGGGAGTGAGGAAGGAAGGGAAGCGAGTCTGAGAGGCAAGCAGAACGCACAGCCACAGCTCGGCCCCTGCTCACACAGCCCCCATTAAAAACTAGGCCCCAGTCTAGAGTTTGGGGGCTCCTATTTCTTTTCAGCAGCCCTTCAAGAGCCGAGGGAAGAAAACATAGAGGACACAAACAATTCAAGGGCCACATGCATGGGATCAGGGGAACATGCCAAGATCTGCTTTCAACTCAAACTTTGTTCCCTAAACTTCATACGGAACATTAAGGAATTGATTCCGAATTTCAAATTCTAGTTATGGGAGCCCATCATGACCTGACCACAGACCCTGGACAGGCTCCCAGTTCCCTCCCTCCCCCAGCCTTCTCCCCAGTGTCATCACTCAGAGGGCTTCCTGTGTCTAGTTGCTCTCAGATAAAGATGGACACATGTTGACTCTGCCAAATACAGGCTCGCCAGTGCATCCTTATGGGTCCATGCTCCTGGACCCTGCTGCCCCGGCAGCGTGGCCCACCGCCCCGCGAACCCACATCAGCCATTTCAGCTACCACCCCTGCTCTTCTTTGACTACTGTCTGGGGGTCCTGGGGTTGGGGAACTGGAAGTGGGATGGAGGGATGAAAATGGCAGCTTTTAGGAAGAAGATACATCTCCATTTCTTCAAACCCACAAAAAACCATTTTTAGGCAGGGCATAAGACCCCGTTGCCTCCCCCAACCTCCCCCCTTTGCCCTCCCACCTGGTCCACCGGCCCCCAGGAGGGGACAGGTCGGTACTTACGCTGCTGGGGTGGAGGACGGGCAGGGGCAGCAGCAGGAGCGGGACGCAGATGACCAGCAGCAGGTTCTTGGCCCGGAGGAGGCCCCGCAGCAAGCCCATCTCGGCCTGCCCTCGCCTCCCTCGGACCCGCTCCTGCTCCTCTCTGCGCGCCGTGCTCTCTCCACACAGGCTTCTTCCACCTTTCTTGGCTTCCAAGAGTCCTCCTTCGTGTTGGAGGCAGAAGAGGAGGGCAGTTATACCCCCTGTTTCCACAAAAGGCCGAGCTCCTTGCCTTCCGCTTTAGGTGGGATTGATGAGCATAGTTTTATGACCAGCAGAAAGGAACTGGGAAAGGATTATAAATGGGGGCATAGTGGGGTCCCTCCTTGATTGATTAGTAATAGAGTAATTTCATTCTAGGTGTCAGCAAAAGCCCTCTTAATCAATTAAAATGACACCGTTGCTGCTGCTATTTGGCCTTGAAGAAATCATTTAAAAGCTTTAAAAAATTAAAAATACCAAGAACATATTGTGCTCCCCATCATTTTTCCTCCTTCTGATGGCCTGTTTTGGGGAGTCCCTGTTTCATCTCCTACCTGTGCTCGCTGTTGGTAAAAATCTAGTAGCCCCTTCCTTTAAAACAAGCACCCGATTTTGTCAAAGGCGCATGCAGATTTCAGATGGGGCTGCTCGTCTCTCCCACGACCTGATACCTTAACTCATTTCGAATTTCTTTCCTTCAAATTGGTTTCCTACTTATAATTTGCCTTGAGCCAGGGCCTCCAAAGCAGGAAAAAAAAAAAAAGAAAGAAAAAAAAAAATCCGCAAGACATTCCTTTTTGTCACAGGACAAAAACTTGCTGGAGGCCCACCTTTAACTCTCACCCACCAATGGGAGCCAGGACAGAAGCAGTAGCTCCGCCCGCTCATCAAAGCTGGTCAGCAAGTTGAAAAGAACGAGCCGATATCTCTTCCAAGGCCAGCTGTTGATTGGTCACAGCAGGGGCCTGCTGATTCTGCAGAACCCAGGCAGCTCGCAAAGCTTCTTTTTCAGTTTCTCAAACGTCCCCGGGGCTGGAGTGGTGACCATCATCGTAAACATAACCCCACTTCCCCAAGCACTGTTTGCTTTGTTGTTGCAGAGCATAGATGCAGAACTTTCCCTGGGAGGGCCCCTTGCTGACCTAGTCCTCAGGAAGATGACTCCTCTGGTGGCAGGGAGAAAACACAGTACTAATTCTGGAGAACTTTGTCCCCGGGTGTGCAATAGTAAGCCCTTCAGACTTCCCTGCTGGCAAAGATCGTTTGCTTCAGCACCTGGGGGAATACAAAGGCGTAAGCCAGCAGAGGGTATGAGTCTGTAAGAAAGACCCCAGACCTTTTAGGAAGAATGGGAAGAGTACCTGCCTATGTGGAAGAGTCTAGATGCCAGTCTCATTTCAGAGGCCCTTTGAGCCAGGTGTCCGTGGTCTTTCTGGCTGGAGCAGGCACTCTGGTGCTCCTCACAGAGGCGCTTTACCAAAAAGGAAGCAGAAGGCCACCTCTGGCTGGTGCACAAGGAGGAGGTGGGAGGGCGGGGAAGAAGTTGACAAGTTCAGGGACAAGGTCTTAGCAGCAGTTGTACTCCGGTGTTTCTTCTGCTTACAGATCTGGAGTCACTGCCTTTTCTCAGAAAGGACATGTGGATTTAGGGCAAAGAAGAAAAGAGAAAGAAAAGCCCAAACCTTCTGTAAGTGGTAGTCCTTGGCAACATTACCTTGACCTGGGAGATGCTGAGCGGAGTCAAGGCGTTATAAAAACCATATTGTCTTGAATTCACGGAATGTAAGAAATGGCGTTCCAAGGTCTGCAGCTATACCACTGGGACATTATCCCCAGGCTAAAGGTAAAGTGATCAGGAGAGTGACCCCAGAAAACCAGTTCTTCTTGACTTCTAAGACAGGTGCAACTGTGGATGGCGTAGGTTCCCTTTGAAATTACCTTGCCATTGTAGAGTGGGCTAGGATGACTCATATCTTTAAATGCATATTAAAGACTGGCTACTGTATTTACTACATTCTGGCCTCATTTTCATAATGATTTTGAAACTCAGAATGAACAATACCACGTGTGTTTTTTGGTTGTAAATATGTAAGACACTGGATAAAAAAAATCAGCGTCCACTGTTAAACCCATGTACCATTTCGAATTCCTCGGTGAGATAATCTAAGATAACAAAGAATCCAGTGAGTTTAGTAATCCAATCATGGCATTTTTATTATACTATAAATGAATATTTGTTAAATAAAATTAAGTAAGGTGAGGGACACAGTAAGACCAGTAGTTCTTCAGGACTCTATCCATTTTCAGATGAAGAAAACACTTTCCAGAATGCAATGGTCAAGAAACGTAAGACAGATTCCACTTGTATGAGGTATCTAAAGTAGTCAAACTCTTAAAACACAAAGTGGAATGATGATTGCCAAAGGCTGGGGGAAGGGGAAAAGGGGAGATGTTCAATGAGTATAGAGTTTACAAGATGAAAAAGTTCTAGAGGTCTGTTCACAACAATGTGCTTATAGTTAATACTACTGCACATTGTACCCTTAAAATATAGTACCCTTAAAAATGGTTAAAATGGTAAACTTTATATTATGAGTTTTTTAACCACAATAAAAAAAGAGAAATGTTAGACATTAAAATGGGTTAGGAAAGTAAGGTGTGTCCTGTAGTCACTTAACGCATATTTAATTTTTGACCAGTGTACCTGCAGAAATATCTTTTGACTGATTTACCACTTATGTGATTCTCTTTTCACTAGATTCAACATGAGATGACAGAGTAACGAAAGTTTCAGCACATAGGTGTTTGTCAATGTCTCTTGAATGACACTGGAAATAGCCATGAGAATGCCAAATATAAAGGAAACTTTCAGAGTTTTTAGATCCTATATTTTCCTAACCATATAGAAATGGCAGAGATGATTCCATAAGTCACAGGCGAGTTTCCACTACAAACATTACACCTCTAAGTTATTCTATGAGTAAATGTGACAAAATACAACCCGATTGTGATGTGGTTGTGTAGAATGTGGCACTAATGAAGCAAAATGGGAGAGTCCCATTCTGTCTGGTCCACTCTCTCCTGTTCATTGAGGAAAGAGTAGGGTCTTTTGGGAGGTAATGGTGAGCATAATATTTGATTTTGCATGTCAATGAAGTCTTTGTTATAAAACTTTCTGTGGGTTAAAAATTAATCTGTATTCAGACTAAAATCGTGTGCAAGAATCTAGTTACTGAAAACAGAGTCTTCATTTGTCTTTAAAAAGGTCATGTACTTCTTTCTATTTTGTTTAGTCACTGATTGCCATAAAAATTCAGGCCCCAATTTACAAATACAAAGTACATATAATTTTTGGTTGCTGGGTGAATGAACTATGATTGCTACCAATGGTCCTGGGAACCATCCTCCCATTCACAAATCTCCTACCACTAGGATCAGCCATCTCAATCATAACATGGTAGGCAGGGACTACAGGAGTGGTTCTTTCCACCCTGTGACTGATGATTCTGAGTGCGAGAAAGCTCTCAGATCCACTCGGCTGGGGATGGAGTTTCAGGGTGGGTTGCAAGACTCTGTCTACCAGGGTGTTATGCAATATCTAGGGACTGAGGTCATTGCTGGTCCCCTTTCCACCCCACATGCAGGAAAAGTACACTAGTGAGGGTGGGCTATGAGGATGATCCGCCTCTGGGTGATCCCAACCCTTGTCTGTACGCTGACCTTTGTTTTATTTAGACAGTGATACCCAAAGGAGACCAAAAGACAGTGAGTGTCAGAGTACAGGCAGGCAGAGATAGAGGGCAGAAGTCAGACAGAAGAGACTTGTAGATGTAACAAGAAACAGATACAAAGATATTTAGAATTGGTCCCAAATAGAGAGCAGGGGAGACACAATTTAAAATAAAAAGAAAGAAAGAGACAAGCAGAGTGGCCATGTTGAGGAGAACACATAATGTCAGAGAAAGATTAAAGAAAAAAGCAGGCAGCAGAATCTGCGTGTGAGGGAGGCAGAAGGGTATAGGGAGGGAATGAGAGAGAGACTGAGAGTTCTCGATCTTCTGAGCCTGGGAATATCAGGATGCAAGGCTGTATTTTTCTCTGATGGTGAATACCTTCTTTCTGCATCCGAGTATTTTTCCAAAGAGATCATGGAGCTGGTGCTGCAGGCAAATCTCATTTGTTCAAAGATTTTGAAGAAATCCAGACCAATCATCATCAGATGACGATTGTCAGGTACCCATGTCAGAATCAAGTTTAGCCCAACGAGTTCTCGCTCATTCAAAAGTCAGACTTCTAGCTTTAGCCTCCAGAACCCAGCTGTAAATCTAGGAGAAGCCAGAAAGATCTCTGAGCTGATGAGGAATTAGTATTAGAACACACATACTTGAATCTTAGCAGAGGCTTTCATCTATAACTCTTATTTAACATAGAGTTATAACAAGCCTAGCGATCCTAGTTTTTACGTGATGGTAGTTAAGAAAGAACAGATTGCAAAGGGCAAGTTATATTGGTAAGAAAGACAAGTGCACTCTAATAGCCTAGCCTGACAGTGAGGCAGGTGGCAGAAAAACTCAGAACTGGACACAGAATTAGCAAAGCCTAGGATCGTGCAAGGTTGGTACACACAGCCCAGCAGACCTTTTAGAACCAGATGCTCTCCCTGTATGTATCTCACAGTTAAATGATTGTAGAAATTCCATAGATGGAAGGAATCTTAGAGATGATCTTATCCAACTCCTTCACTAGAATGTTTCAAATAGTTATCTGAAGATACGAAATAAAAGCTTAAGGCATTTCGTTTAAATAGATATCAAGCCAACATTTCTAAAATGAAGTTTGGTATTTGAAAGTGTAAAATTCTGTCATTGAAAATCGTGTCTATTTGGAGCACCTTCATTCTCTGTCTTAATGCTAAATTATTTAAGTGAGCCATTTGAAATATAGCTGCAAGAATCTGTCTATTAAGACAGATAGACATGGGCCTGGGGGCCGCCTTTTTCGTTAGGAGGACCTCTCTGCATTAGCGTGATTTCCTTGTTCAAAAGATGAAGTGTGCCTGGACTGGTAGCATTTCTATGGGTCCCTTTCCTGTTTCTCCTCTGTATTAAACCAGCCCTCAGAAAAGACAAGTCAAGGCAACAGGTCATAAAGTTACTGATTTTCTAACTGATTCTTCTCAGTGACTTTTGGAAAAGTCAAGAAGTATATCATTAGCTAACAACGTATTTATTTGGGTATAGCTCTAGTTTCTTAATATTTACTATAGAATCTTTGGAAATATGTTTATCCAATGCAGTATCCTGGTCCCTCAGGACCAAAGGAATCTGTCCCTCCTCTTCCTGCCATGCCTCTGTGATGTTTCCTCTAGCTCTGTCCTCAGTCTTGGGAATGTGTGGCCATCGCCCTATGTTGGAGCTCATCTGAGACTCCTGTGTGTCACCAGGCAAACCATTCTGCCTCTGGAGGCCTCTTGAATGACCACTTCAACCCCTTCTTCCAGCCCAGTCACATTATGACATGGATCAGACGTGTCTATCGGGAAGCTACAGGGGGGTGATAGGGCAAGGTGGTCACTTTGATTTTATCTCTGCTACTCTGTGTTGGTGGTATGGGTTTTGTTGCTGGTCTCTGTGAATAGAGTAGAGAATGAAGACTTGCTGGATTACTGTGTGTGCTGTTCCTGCTCTGAGGTCCTGGTGTGGGCTGGTCTCTCAGGGAGACACTCTAGGACCTGAGGACCGCATCAAGTCGTGCCTCAGGGCCTGGAAG